AAGGGCACCCTGATAATTACATCAGCATAACCATGCTACGAGATGCCAATCACATGGTAGGAAGACCAACGCTCAATGTAGCAATTGATGCTATGCTGTGTTACTAGCCATTGCTTTTACACAATCGTCCTCGCAGGGACGGCTACAGTGGGGAATCCCTTGTCTGAGTGCCTCTCCTCCGGGCTTCGGTTGTGCTTTGGCAGCCAGGGCTTTCGCTAGTGCGGTGCGCGGGCTGGCGGCAGGCTTGGGGTTCGCTGGCTTTGGGCTCGGGCCGCCGGGGCCGCCGGGGCCTGCCGGCCGAGGGGTGAGGTTTGCGCGTGGGGTCGGTGGGCCAGGCTTAGCTGGGACTGCACCTGGCTTTGGGACAGCAGCCCCAACTTTAGCCGTGATGGGAGAGCCTGACTTTGGGCTGGCGGCCTTGGCTTTGGTGGGTGCAGCCTTGAGGTTCGGAATTGTGAGGGACTGTGACTTGGGTTTGGGGCTCGCTGGCGCCGCGGCTTTCGGCGGCGTGGCTTTCGGGGGGAATGTTTTTGGAGTTGCCTTGGGAGTTGCAGCCTTCGGGCTGCTCGCAGGCACCGGCATCGTCCTCCAGAGTCTAAGCTGATCTTCTTACAAAGCGAAGCTTCGCATCAACAACAAACAGCCTGTGCATTAAATGCAAACGCATGCGACTACATGCATACATACGCATACGTACCTACAGACCTACATGCCTATGTACCTATGCATGCAGACATACATGCATACATACATACGTAGTTTCAAAGGCACGGGACAGTCCCTTCTAGGATTGGGTGGGGTGCCGCCTATCCACTCCACAGTTTGAACCGAGGTGATCTTCACGGTTGGAGTTGTCACCTATCATCTCGTGTCAGAGCTTATGTTTTTTTTGGGGGGGGAATGCATGCATCGTTTCTGACAATGGAATTTTCAATCACCCAGTAAAAAGCACGAGAAAAACGAGTGTTCCGCCCAAGAGCCCAAACATTGTGATGGGGTTGCAGAAGTCTTCAGCTTTCTAAACGTTAAACCCGCAATGAATTCGCATGTGTATATACACCAATTCGATGGTTGCGCTATCCCTATCAAATTTCATCTGTGTCACTGTCGTACATGTTGTTTGAAACATACTGTAGATCTAACATGATAACACATTCTTCCAGCCATCCATCCATGATGTGCATACTTTAGTGCATACATACATTCCTGTATACAGACATACACCCAAGCATACACACGTGCGCATGTACAGACCTACATACGTACGTACATTGGTACGTTCACAGATACAAGTATGTGCATGAAAGCACGCATACCTTACCTGGTGCTTAGGCACGTAATTGATTCCATGAAGTACATCTTGGCCACTGCAAGGCACAGAAATCGTCCTCGACCCCGTCGAACTGCGAGGTGTAGTGGCGCCTGAAAATGCCGAGTTTTGGGACCGAACTCGCTCAGTCGGTTTCGTGCAGAAAAATGAACCCGATGGGTTCGCTGGAGCGGGAATATGGAAGCGGCCACGAAGCGTGCACTTTTTCTTCTTGCACCCTGGGCTCTATCGCTCTGTCGGTCGAGCAGAAAGAAGACCCTTTCCTGCGAGGCAACGACACGCCCCGTGCTTCTCCCTGCCGATGAATTGCGAATATCCAGCCCATGTGATTTCGGCACACCGCATGGCAGCTTAAGCTTCTGAGAGTTCAGGCAATTCGTGGGCCGTTCTCACTGGCCCGGTATTGAAATTACTCTTGTCTTGAGCATTGCAGCGAAGAAGTAGCCAAAGCCAGCGGGTCAGGGATTGCGGCTAAAATGCTAAAAGAATTACCGCGCCGAAAATACTCACATTCGAGCACATGTTTGCAACTTGCAGCAGTCATCACACAGGACCCTTCGGTAGCCTTGAGGGCTTTGCGCTTCGCTGGCGGCAGGCGCAACAGAACCTCGGAAACAATGCGATGGAGACAAGCTAAGCTTCAACACGAATTCTCGATGCTATACCACTCGTGATTTGCATGATAAGGACTGGGATGAGCACTTCGGGGTGTCCCGCCACCACTGCCAGAGCCTCCCGCACAACCGCAGCTATCGCATGTGGAATATGGGCAGAGCTGCATACGAACACCCGGGATGCAAGTTTGTGCGTCACCAATGTGATTGCTGTCGCGGCCCTACTGGCTGCCGCCTGGTGTGGTAGTAGATGTGAAATCTCGCTTCATGGCGTCGCAGGTTTCTCAAGCTGTTTCCGATGCACCATTCTAGATGCTAGCTTCGGAACCGAGTCCACAGTGCTGCGTCTACTAAGGCACGCCATACCCCGCTTCATCTGACTAAACAACCAAACATGAGCCCTAGGAGAGGCCAGAAGCCTGCTGAACTCTACTGAAGGGTTCCCGACAGAGCTGCTGGGCAGTGAGTTCAATCTGTGCCAAAGGGTAATCTCCAAGACATCGCCCCACCTCGCGGCGTCACGCTACCATTCGCTGCGCCTCATGGGCCCATGAGAAGTGTCGTTGCGATTGGATGCTCCGTGCATTGAGGTATGGGGTGCCAGTGAAGGCAGACCTGCTTCATGTTTTAACTTTCAGCCGGTAACTCATGGACAAGGCAAGCCCTTCAGACTTCAGATTTACATGCACAGGCATACAGCATACACTGACAATTAAAGGCAGCAGAGACAGAGAGAGAGAGAGAGGAGTCTGGCAACGAGCTGTTGCTGCGCCTCCAAGCAGGCCGATGGTACTGAGGTACTTCGCCTTGCCATGCCGAGACATTTGGCTTCGGGAACCTAGTGTCTAATTCTTAGATGAGCTCCGTGATTCATATTATCACTCTTCCCAGGCTGCTTTGATTTCGATGCAACCATCAGCCTAAGTGGGCGAGCTCCGGGCCATAGGCACGAAAACCTGCCCCTGCTGGACCAGCACCTCGTGCATGCCAAGAACAAGGCATAACAGCATAAGAGAAGGGAGAACAGTCGAAACAACAGCAACACACGCACACACACAGAGCAAAAAAACTACCAAGAAACGCCGGATGCGGTCCGAAGGATTGCTCCTCTCTGTCACAAAACGTATGACCCGGAAGTCAATTGAAGACAAAGGTAAGGACCCCCGTACCTTCATCTCGACTCCATCACCCCAGTACCCTTTAAGGGAACCCGATAATAGTACCCTTTGAGGAACCCTATTATGGTACCCTTTAAGGGAACCCTATTATAGTACCCTTGAGACCCCTGGCATGCTCTATCGGGGGCCTGGTCATTTCGGATCTGCACAGCAACCTCACGGTCAGCAAGCTTGAACCTGCCAGAGGCCAAAGACCCAAGGGACGAAGGTATGTTGTAGGAGCCTTAATGATTAGAATAGGGTTCTGGGGCCCATTATACTATAATGATCATACGACTACTAAAAATAATCTATATTATTAGTATTATTAAGGAACCCCCGAAATAGTACTGGTAATTATTTAGGCCCCTACATTATAGAAGCAGGGTGGGAGAGCTTCGTTTAAGCTGGAAATCGAGGGTCACCCCACTTGGTTGGCATCTGTGCACGGAAAAGGGCATGAACATACTCATCAGCACACCCGTCTCCAGGCTACATGCGTCTCGAATGCTGGATCTTGCAGTTGCAGGCGAGACAGAGATAGCGGGGTACTGGTGCAAAGAGGGCCGCCGGGAAGCAGGAGGTGATACTGTGATACCAATGTCGACGACAAGCTGTCTTGACTGTCTCCGCCAATCCCATCTCCCCAGATTCCTCTGAGCTTTCTTTTTCTATCTGTTTTCGTGAGGCAGGATGGTGGGAATGCCATGTGACCTTCCGCACGGGGCAAAGATGGCTGCGCCGGTCATGTAGGCCAAAACGACGATGCCAGGAAGAGAAACAGCAATGGAAATTAAAATGCGAGTGCCACCCAGGATACTGCATGAACTACGACGTGGACGAGGAGGTGGAGCATGCGGTCACGGGAGGAGGACTACCCCCAACTATACCTACCAACATATACTATCAGTAAACAGCCATT